GAGTACATCGAATGATAATGGAAAGATACTGATGTGTTAAGTCATTAACAATAAAAATCAAAAATAAAACTTTGTGGTGTATTTGGTTTTAACACATTCCACTACCACCTCAAATTCACCCTCTGTTTTTTAACTAATATCTTATTTGGAAGTGTTTAATCTAATGCCAGCATTTGTCACACTTGTGGAGAGCATCTTTGGGAGCAAGTCTGAAATTTTCTCCTGCAGAATGCCTGGTGTCTTGTGGAGAAGAAAGATCAAAAGATTACTTGTGCTCTTCTGATGAGGGCAGTCATTGTTAACTTTCTCCTGGGGAGAAATTGTGTTTTTTTTTTTTCCAAGTCATTGTGAAATGAAGGAGCCTGAAAGAGGGTATGTGCCTGTTAAGACACAATTCAGCTAGTTATACTTTCTGAAAGGTGGGTGGTTTTCATCAGATAAGCCTCATCCAAAACAAAAATATTATTTTGGGATGTTGTGGTATAAAACACTGTGTATTTGCAAAGCACCAGAGGTTGCCACCTCTTCTTGCTTTACCTCAGTGGTTACTGATGTAAAGGTGCTAACGAACTTAGTTGCTTACAATTCACAAGCTGCATTTTTTGCAGTGGGCTCCTCAGGATTATTCAGCATATTTTAGGAGTAATTCTTGCTCTGGTCAAGCCTTGAACTTAAACTGCTGTTAAGCAGGATCTTGTGATCCCACAGTGGAAAAAGGGAAAACAGGTGGTAGGGCTAGATATAATGGTTCTTTCCATTTTTACCAGTGCTTTGACAGCTTGCCCTAGGAAGCTCTCCCTTTAGAAAAGATATAGAGTAACAAGTAGAACTGGCGGGGCATACACAACTTCTGTCAGCCTCTGACTCCTGCAGTATAAATCCTTGGGTTTAGGAGTTGGTCATTTACTCATTTATGCAGCAACAAAAATTTTACTCTTTGTTTTTAGAAACAAACCTTTTGTTGTCAGTATATGGCTTCATTCGGTAATACTGTAGTTAAATTAGGGGTGTCTGTTAAGGCCTATGTATAACTTAAAAAAAAAAATTTTGAGTAAACAGTTGATTCATAGCAGAATCTCTGTATTCCTTGCCAGTTCCAGATCCCTATCTAAACAGGAGAGCAGCATGCACCTATAGTTGTGTATGCGGCAATACTGTATTTAATGAACATTTTCTACCACAGTTTGCTTCCCCCAGAGTACGAAAGATTTTGAGGTGAGAATTCTGTGCTGTGTTTGAGTCGGTATGGTCAGCTTTGTACTTGTAAATGGACATACTGTTTTCATCTGCAGCTGCTTGGAGATGAGCAGAAACCACCGTATCACTAGTGCAAACTTAGGTTACATTAAGGAAGAAGAAATAGTTAGAACTGATGCTGCTTTATCTGGATCAGCAAGGCAGATACTAAGTCAGAACCCTTCAAAACTCAAATAAGCATTGTACCCAGGTTTGGATTTTCTTTGGCAGAACAACTGGAAAAACATGCCGCTTCTGGTGTGTCAGTAGCCAAAATCTGGTAGGTTGAAGAAACTTCTTTTGTAAAAGTATTTTTACAAAGTATTTATTTTTTGAAAAAAAGGCTCTGTAAGAACCTCTACCCTGTCCTTCACGTAAATTTTGTCTATGATGCATTTTCTAATTCAAACCCTCATGCTAGTAAGTATAGCAATTTCTAGCTTATGTGAGGTATCTCAAATAGGTATTTAAAAGGGTGAGGCTCTGATTTAAAATCCCACTGATCCTATACTTTAGGTAGTGGGATGATTCAAAATGCCTTTGTCAGATGTCTTTAACCTCTCCAGCTGTCCTGTCAGTGAGGATGAGTCAGAAGTTGGAGTCCTACAACTAATGCTCACTAAATCTGGAAGGCTCAAGTGTTAGCATGACTGATTTGGCAGATGGGGCAGGATGTGGACTGGTGCATTACTGAGGTGACAGCAGCATTTCTGGAGCGCTGCTGCATCTTTTGGAGAAGAAAGTGTCATGGTCCTTTGTTTTATTCTACACTGACAGTGAAAACAGTATTTTCTAGGAGAACTGAGCTGACTGTCGCTAACAATAGAAACAGCTATAGGAACCCCTTCTCAGGCTGCTTGTATGGTGAACACGTTCACCTTCTATGCAGAAGCAGCAAGTCTGGTGTTTGGGGGAAGGTGCAGAACTTGTAGAACATGCATAATAGAGGGGGAGACTGGGCTGCAGTCCCATGAACCTGAAAGGAAATAGGTGGCTGGCCCAGTCAGAAAGGTCTCCATTAAGACCTGAGCATCCCGTCTGTTCAGTAGAGAGGTAAACAGTATTTATGCAAACTGCGTGCATGTGTTCAGTGCTGAGGTACCCACACCTGTGTCACCTGCCACTAAGGGGACAGAGTGGGTTTTTTAGGTATCCTGAACAGAATTATGATGATGCTAAACTGTAGTTACAACTAAAGCTTTATTTTCTTAACAGCATATTATGATAAGTATAGCACAGAATTTAGTTAGAATGGCATACAATTTCTACAAGCAGAATCAATGTAGTACAGTTTGTAAGTAGTGTAATACAACATTTACAGTACAACTTGAGGTTTCTAATCACCTTAACCCTCTGCAGGTTGTGTCAAATCATAGAATCTTAATACATGTTTTGCTGTATCAATGTAACACTCAGAATCTACACTTAGTCAAAGAATACAAGTCACTCCCTCATTCCTGGGAGGAAGAAGCCAACAGTGGAGGCGTCCTTGATCACTAGGAAATCACAGGTCTCAGTGACCAGCAGCAGTTTGGGTCCACGCTCCCCACTTGGAACCTGGTTGATTTTGCAGACAGTGCTCTGGGGGCTGTTGTGTGATGGGCTGTCAACAGCACCTGGCTGGCTGTGTGCCTGGGACCTTCAAGGCCAGCAAGAAAGGGAGTGATTGGTCTCGTGCCCAGGAGTCTTGAGGAGAGCAGGGAGGGGAAGAAGAAATCTGTGTGGTTTGTCTGCGTGGTTCACAGGACCTTCAGGGCTTGATAACAAGGGGAAAGGGAACAAACACATGACCTGTTTGGTCGCAGAGAACGGCTGCTTGCCTTATGAAATGATGTTAGTTATGATAACCACATTACCAGGGTTGGGAGCAGGGGGTACCAGTCACACACACACCTGATGCTGGGTTTGGTAGGGCTGTCCTATGGATGTTAAATAGAAGAACCTTCCTCACAATGAGGATGAAAAGAAAAAGACCTGACAGGATGTTATCCTGTGGAAACCATGGCTAGGGTCTGTGTATCTGATTTGTGTGTTCCCTGAGTTTTTAAGCCTTTGAAGGGAGAGCTCTGTGCTTCATCGTCACCTGGCAACTGCGTACACAACAAGAGAGTAATTTTTCTCTTTTCAAGTTACATCATCTTGATTTAGCCTTACAAACTGCTGTTGTCAGGATATAGATGTGGCTTGGGTTTTTTTAACTTTTTCCAGAGAAACTCCATAGATCTAACAGCACGTTTTTGTAAGTCTTAAATGAAATATCAATGGACATGTCATTTTAGGTCTATAGGCATAAAGAATATTTTTTTTTGTCTGTATTTTGTTGATGGCTACCCAGGCTTTATGTTTGTGGTTTGGTTTTGCTTTTAGTAGAGTTTTAACAGTTATTACACAAACAATGCTTTCGTTTTCCTTCTACAGTATCTCCTACAGGCTCCAATAGAAATGCACAGAGGAAACAAGATTTACTCCTAGCTTTATAATGCTCTAATTTTTAAAGAGATTTCTTATACCCCAAGGCTGTATTGTTTTGGTTTGGCACTTGTCTCTGTTGATTAGGAAAACACAAAGCACTTGGAATATGGTTTAACCTATGATTCATCCTATGATTTAAAGTATTTTAGAACAGAAATGTCTTGCTTTTGTTGTTTTGTTGTTGCCTCTTCACAAATCCTTCAATGGGAGAAGAGAATCTTAAAGCATAATATGCCTTAACTGAAGCTTCCTAGCTCTTCACTTCCACTCCTAGAACATTTTCCACCTGGAATGATGCAACTGCTTTTGCATCTGAATTGCCTGAACTGGATCATGGAACTGACAACAGGTTAAAAGTTTACAGTCTCATGGGTGTTAAAGAATTATTTTTTGGTGTGGATTTTTTTACTCCAGTATCTAGTAGTTACTGCAGTATAGCACAGGAGGTAGCCCAGCAGGGAGGGAGTGGAAAGGACTGAATAATAAGGCATTGTAGGATGGGAAAATGTTTTCAAACTACAGCCTTTTATATCCTGAGGTTGCCTGCAGTGTTCTCTCTGGTTTTGAAGGAGCAGCACCTTGCTGAAGAGAACTAGAGAACAGCAGTTTCTGAACAGTAACATGAAGGAAAAACTTTGTTTCGGGGGGGGGGGAGGGGAGATTATTATGTTTATGGGCTTCTTCAGTAATATAATTAGTAAATCTGCAAGTGGAATGTCCTAGCTGTCCTGTGTGTGTGTGACTGGCTTGGTAAAAGAAGAGTTTATTTACAGCTTTAGAGTACAGATTCTAGCTCAAAGATTCAGGATAAGGCACCAAACGTGCAAAGAACAGGCAGAATCTGTCAGTACTGCGAAGTTCATATGCTCTGTCTGTATTTAGGTCTTAGATCTGAAAAATACAGATGACTACCAGTTGTGGCTTTGTTGTTGTTTTTTTTTTTAACATACATCCTCAACATAATGGCCAATTTGTGTGGGGAAGAATAATTGGCCTAACAAGGAAAACAACATTGATGCAAATTAAAAAACAGCTTGATTACATTATACTATTAAACAAAGATGATGACAGCTGCAATTGCAGTTGCAGCATAGATAGCATTTCAGTCACCAGCTGTCAAGTGAACTGTAGTGTGTGGCTGCTAGAGCAGTGGTTTTAACCAGACTGGGAAGGAAATAGTAGAATCCTGTGAAAAGTACAGCAAATCATTTTTTATACTAGTTATCTCACAAATTTGGGTCATAGTTTTGGAAATGAAGTAATTATTTTTTTTCCGTTATAAAAACTTACAGGAATCTGTGCAATGAAAACAGTGGATTTGACAAGACACAGAAGATTACACTTCCACCTGATTCAGGTAAATTAGATTGAGATTAACCACTTAAATTTGTTTTATTTTCAATTTTCAGTCTGAGGGTCTTCCACTTTAAATGGGTTGAAGAGAGTTGTTAAATGGCCATCAGTGTGGGGAGAGATTTGATGTGACAGACTCCACAATCATAGAGCAGATGGGATTTGTCCATTGAAATAATATCTCTGAATGGCTTTAAGCAGCAGATTCATCAAATATAACTTATTCTTGAAAATAAATTTAATTTTAAAGGTTCTTAAGAACACCATTAATTTCACATGTCTTTTTTTTTTTTTAAGTTGCTCATTGGTACTTTGTGAAGAATATCTCCTGTGCTTTTGGACAGAGTAAACCAGTGCAGAGGCTGATGATCTTTGAAGGCTTTCCCATGCTCTGGAATTGACCTGGCAGAAGAGTTACTTTATGGCAGTCCTAATGTTTGGCATGTGAAATAGCATGAAATAGAGGCCTTTGAATAACTATACCATGGATGTAGTATATGCTTGCTAAACTAGCTTCAGGTTAGATAAAAGCTTTTCATGCCTTGCTCAGTTTTGATTTATGAGCCCTTCATCACTATAATGTTTGTAATTTCTGTGTTATGAAATCCTACTTGAAGAAACAATCTGGAGAAAATTGTGCAAACTGTTGTATCTGCTTTTCATTTTGGAATAAAACAGTGTTTGACCAAATATGCTTATGTTTTGTTGTTGGTTTTTGGGTTTTGGTTGGGCTCTTGGGGGTTTTTGGGCAGTGTTTTTGGGGGGGGGGGGGGGGGGGTAGGGAGGGGGTTATGTTTTGGTTTGTTTGGGTTTTTTGGTTTGTGGTTTGCTGTGGTTTTGTTTGTTTTTTTTTACCATAGGAACTATTTTTCCACAATTACCAATACATGGCTGCAGCAAACTGCTCTAAAACTTCTATGAAGTTTTCTGCCAGTCATACTGTCCATGAAGCCTCCTTACCTTTTTTCCCAAATCTATCATCCATCCAGAAGCTTCAGTAAAGATATTTAATTTTGCATAAAACTCTGAAGATCAGACAATCTGGCCTCAATGTGAAACTCATTCTTACCATGTTAAGAAGTGAGTTTAGACTCAGATTTTTGTTTCATTTTTGTCTCCTTTTTACAGCGGGGGGAGGGGCACAGGAGATATGACTCCAAACATTTTAAGACTGGATTTTTTAAGGACGTTTTTAATCGCATTTAACTGCGTTTAATTGAATGCTATCTTAGCCTGTTTACAATATACCTTTTTCAAGTTTGTAACTCCTCTTAGTAAGAGAAAACAATCTTTTAGGATACGGTAAGCAGTTTCATGGAATATAGAAGATCTTGTCTAATTGGGAAAAGCCTAATTCCTCATACATAAGCTAAGAAAAAATGGATACTACTTCTGTGCCATTTCCATAGCAAGCTGTCTTGAAGGGTTAGTAGTAAATATGAATATAGGTCTGAATTTTCCTTTTAAGAAAAAAAGCCATTGATCATGAATGAAACTGGGTTTCAGTTATCACAGCTGAATTTTAAATATACTGTGGGGAACAGTTATTATAACTTAATTTTAAAATCTATTTAAAATCAGTGTCTGTTAGATATCCGGTGTGATGACTGTGCCACCTGCTCTTCCTGCAGGGCATGTGAGAAGAGAAGGAAAATTAATCAGTTAGCCATCAAAACCACTGAGCAGTACTTGAATGAGGTGCACAAGGACAGCATAAAATTTACCAAAAGGGTATTGGTTTTGAAAGAACAACCTCTTCAGAAGCTCTCAGAAATGCCATCTACCTTGCCTGCTCTAGGCAATTTCATCATGAACACAGAAATCTCAAAGGCTATCACAGGTTCAAGGAGGATAGGATTAATTTAAAGCTAATTAATTAATCAATCTAATCACTTTTAATTCAGGGAGATCCTACTATGTGCAGAGTTGGAACTCCTGGGAACACTTTCCGTTGTTTTAAATATGTAATACCTTTTTAAAAGGTGGAGGGCTTGCATCAAATTTGGCTGTGAAGTGCTGTGCACAGTGTTTGATACTGTAGACATTCTGGGATGGTTTCCCTGTGGCCTTCTGTGCTTTTTCCAGGGCAAAATATGAGCAAGTTTGATGACTGATTTTTCTTTTGTTTTCATGGGGATCAATACAGACAAATCAATAAAGATTACTGGATCTCAAAACACAAATTATAATATGCCTGAGAGTTACAAGGTGACTGTGTTGTTCTTTACTACCTTTTCATTGCCAGAATGCTCCAATGTTACGCACTTCAGTCAGGACAAATAGTGGTCACAAGAAGAGGAGAGCATCCCCTTGAAATACGTCGCCCTACCTTCGGCTTCTGTGTCATTTTCAGTTGCTTGTTTTGCATTGTGCTGTTTGTCTTAAGGAAACTAGTACCCTTGGTGAGTTGGCTTAGGCTTTACTCAAGGTCTGAAGTAACAGGAATTCACACAGATTGTACTTCAGACTTACAAGAGCTATAGCAGCAGCCTGTAGGGAAAGCTTGGAGGTTGACCCTTGATGTATATTTCACTGTGCTGGGAGAAAATAGCAAGTGAGAGAAGAACAGGTGAGGTTCATTTCAGACAAATATTGTTACATGAGGGCTGCTCTGTGGCCTCTTTGTAAGTATGCTGTAGAAAAAAGAATTCCCATCCCAAACTTTTTTAAAAACCATGTCAAAAGGAGACTAGCAGTGGCCAAAGCTCCTTTAAGAGTGTATGGGACTGCTGTGGAGCTTGCCTGCTGCTCTAGTGTGAGAAGACACCCTTGGTGGTTGTGATTCTAAACATATGTGATGTCAAAATAAACAGGTTGCTTTACTCTCTTGGCTTCCTGTCCAGATTTGAGTTGCTGCTCCTTATTTAAGCTCTCTGTGAATGCTGTAAGAAAGAGCACTGGAAATTAGATGTTCCTCATTGGAAGTGCTTTCTTATTCCCCAAGTGCCAAGTCTTAGTTGAAACTCCTGCATGTGGAAGGACTGTGGACCCTAGGGAAGGGGGCATGAGGCTGGGAAGGAACAGCATCTGTTGGTGCTCAAAGGATTAGTTGAGGGATATGGGAGGAGATCTTCCTGAATTTCCATCATTTCACAATATCCAAAAGGTTTTAGAGTGTTACGTTTTTCTGGTGAGGGGAGGGCGAGAACTGTATTGTGAAAGATTTAAATACCTTGACCTATCTCAGAGCTAACAATTCCTAGATTTCTGCAAGCTGAATGGAGGAAAACGGTACTGCAGAGAGGAAAACTGACTGGTAACACTGCTCATGAAGATACTGAGAAGTCAAAACAGCCCTGGGTTAAAGACTGGTGAGTTCTACAGTTGCTGACTTGTAAAATAACATGAACATGCACAAGCAATTATCTTGTGCTCAGACATTGTAAGATAATAAAAAACTAATGAAAGAGGTTGCACATCACTAACATTTTATGCTAAGTATGTAATTAATAACTCCCAGTTTTAAGCCTTAAGGTTTCAGAGGATTTGGTGGTTTTTTTCCTAAACTGATGTTTAGCAAGAAAGCTCAAAAGACTTCCCTCAACTGTAAAAGGTTGGAAATTAAGTTACACAATGGTCTTTTCTCACCAAGATGATGTTTAATCAACCAGTGAAATGCAAAAAACCTAACTGCATACTTCCACTTCTGTCTTAGCAAAAGATATCAATACAGAATTTTACCTCTTAAAATAATCTGATATTACAAATGCAATTTGAAATGTCCAACAATTATACAAATCAGCTTCTATTTTTAAATGTATGTTATGAACAAAAAAGATGGAGAGCAATACTGTGCCTAGATTAAATCACAAGCATGTTTTCTCTGTTTAGCTAGCATTTCTAACTAGATAAATGGAACCTGGTAGAAGCTTGCTGCATGCATGTCAGGATGAAAAATGACTTGGACAATTACTGTAAACTTGTGCTTAAATCTAAAAGGCATTCTTTGAAGTTTTATCATTCCAAATGCTGACCCTGAAAAGCTAAGCCATAAACTTACAAACTGTTACTTAGGCTCTCAGGAATGATCTAATGAACGTCAAGTCAATGAGTTTGTTTGTGTAACAGGCTGATGTACTGGTGGGTTGGTGGCAGTGTGATATAGTCAATCTGCCAGGCCTCCCCATATTTATACTTCAGCCATCGTCCTCCATACCAAAGAAGCTTTAACCGTTTGGCTTGCTTAATCACAGCACGTGTTTCACACTCATGAATAACCTGGGCTATAGTGTCCATTGTTAAGCCCACCCCTCGATCACGGGCCCAACTATATGTTGCATCTCTGCCCTGATGGCCTGAAATGTCATGGGCCCACGGGGCCAAAAATAATTCACCCTTATGTTGCCAATTTAAGTCCATCTGAGCCACTTTAATCTTAGCCGCTTTATCCACTTGTTGGTTGTTCTGCTGCTCCTCAGTGGCCCGACTCTTGGGTACATGGGCATCTACATGATGTACCTTCACCACCAGGTTCTGCACCTGGGCAGCAATATCTTTCCACAGCACAGCAGCGTTGCCAGTTGCTCTGCTTCCATTGCTTCAACCACCCCCACAGGGCATTTGCCACCATCCATGAGTCAGTATAGAGATAAAGTACTGGCTACTTTTCTCGTTCAGCAATGTCCAGGGCCAGCTGGATGGCTTTCACCTCGGCAAACTGACTTGTTTCACCCTCTCCTCCAGCAGTTTCTGTAACATGTTATTTATTGTGCTTCTGTCATTTCCACCAAGTAAATAATTGAGTCTTAGTTTTAGTCTGAACATCATGACAAACGAACTTTCATTTCTTACAAGTAATGTGAAAAAAGTGGTGTGATGGCATGAAATGGAAGTATTTAAATTCATTTTCCTGCAGGGTTACCACACTTAAAAGGTTCTGATTTTTCTCCTGCGCCACTGTGCTTTATTGTCACTGTAGATGAAGCCGATCAAGCTGACCTTGATTCTTTTGAGACTTTCTGAGAACTCTCAGCAAAGGAGTATCAGCAACACTGACAACTGATGAGGACTTTTTAAGAAGATACTGGTTTCATTCCCAGAACATTTCTTAATTGCAAATAATTAAGTTTGTGATTAAGTTTTAAAAAATAGTTGTTAGGAAGGAAAATAATTTTACTGCATTTTACTGTTTATAAGATTGTTGTCCTAGAGCGAAGCTT